CCCCAAAACCCCAAAACCCCAAAACCCCAGTACGAATATCTGAGGTTGAATCAACATATCAGATATGCGTAAACCAACTTTCTTCGCTGAAAAAATATATCTGTACTTAGTAACTCTACTTTTGAAGAAATAAATGAAATATTTGCACCTATAAGGAGACTATATGATGCTTTATACATAATATTAAGCAGCTATATTTTTTTAAAGAAATACAGTATATCATCTTGGTATCTTCCAACCCCAAAGAGGGTCTATCTCCATGTTCACCAGTCTTTTCCCTCCAGAGAGTGTTGTTTAATAAATCTTGATAAAATTTTGGTCAAAATGGTGAATTAAAATTCCCCTAAACTAGTTATAAAGATTAGACTGCGAGATCTCATCCAAGCATAGTGCAATACCCAATGCTTGCTAATTTTACAGGCTTAGGTTTGTTCTATAAGCTAAACACATTCCCAAAAAATAAGAATTTGTTTCATTGAGTTTGAAATTGAGAAAATACTATTACAATTCTGGAAACAACTCTATTTATAGCAGAAAGCCTCGTTAAGCATATGAAACAAGTAAGAATATTATTAGAAACGATTTTTTCTTAGCCTAGACTTCTTCAGTCTCTTAATTAAACCACTATCCAGCCTGAGAAACATCTCTCTTCTTAAGCTATTGGTTGTGGAAATGAAGATGATCAGTTTCATAGAGCTTCAATATGAAGACTAACCTCAAAAATTCATTCTGATCTTTCTTATATCTAAAGTAAGCTTTCCAAGATTCATGACACAATACATAAAGCTCGGATTTGAAATCCCAGCCTTATCTCACAATTCGATATTCCATCCTCACAAAAAAATCAACAATATTCCTCACATAAATACTACATATTTACCCCTCCCCAACTTCCCCAGTTTAATTCTCATTTGCTGTCATTATCAAAATCCCTACATTAAGTCCCCATACTTGTTTTCTCATCTCCAAAATAGCATTTGATAAGATCCCATATTTTCTTCACAAAATGGTGGTTTACTCTCACAAATAATTTTGAGACTAGGCTTAATAGTTTGGAAATGAAATTTAGAGATTAGAAAAATAATGATTTGACGGTTTAATGTTATTTTTAAACTAGAAATCAATGCTTTAGAATTCAACGTTTCAGAGGTTAGTGAGAGTGTAACCAAATATTTTTATGAGAATTATAAATGCCTGGAAGGTATTGATATATGATCAATTTTGATTCTGAGATATTGGCTTTTGTGCTTTCCGGTTATGGACATTTCAGAAATCACTAGTTAAATTTTGAAGGTTTCAGACACTTTTTCATAACTTGTGTTTTTAATTTAATGGTGATTACTCTAGTTGTTTTTCAGCCTTGCTTATATGCATATCTTTTCATAAATATGCTGAAACATCGTTGTCGGTTATCATCCCTCTTTTTATCGTCTCTAGTTGATAATCTTGGTTTCTTCAAAACTTGCTATTAGTTTCATTGTTAATATTAATGAAAATATGGTGACAATTGATCTTATGTCTTACCTTTAATCCTTGTCCTTAGCCTCTAGCGTGGAAGTGAGAAGCCCTAATTTTTGGAAGCGATTTGTAGAGAGTCCAAGCAATCTCTTGCAGAGGTTTCATTTCTCGCATGCTTATAAAAGAACTCACCTCGATGAGAAAGTTTGTAGTTCAGATCGATCAGATTTTCTTGCCGATAGATTATTGTACTATTTTTCAGCAAAGAATATTGCAGAGAATTTCTTCATTCCAATGAGGGTAAGAAACCGTTCATGAAAATATCTATAAATCAATGGATAATGGTGAGCTATAAAATGACTACCACCAGACTAAATCGCCATGCTTCTTTATTCACTCTTTTTTGATACTAAAAAGAGTAGCGAGAGCCGATAGAAAAAAGATTTATAAGTTGGCTATTAGATTCTTCTATTTTGGGTATATTTCCTCCAATGGCACATCAAAAAACAGGGATAATTCGGGAAAACAACCAGTTCGCTCTCTCTTAGAATTTTTAAACACTCGTGCGAGTATTTCTTAACTTTATTCTGGTTCGGGATGAAAGTCTAGTTTGGGATTGAACTAAATTTTGCTGAATTTGGTTTCGAAAGCAAAATTTACCAATAAATTAACTAAAAAACACTAGAGTAATACTTCCTTTGCATCTATAAGGGCACTTAGTGAAGAAAAAGGGTGTCATTATGCATTAATGTTGAGCAGATAGTACATAAATAACTCATACAAGCAAAGCTTCTTGTCATTGTGAAGTTCATCAGAGATCATCTAAATTTTTGGATAGTTATCACCAGTGGTTATTTAAAGAAGATAAGCTTTAAGTGATAATATTAAAATGAAATTTTCTAACTTTGGTAGAAACCCAAATCATTATACCTTACCAACCTGGAGTACCTCAGACATCATTCATGGACTCAGCTCGGTCTACTGAATGAGCGAGATGAATGAGAGGATTCTGGATATACAATCCTTCTGAGTTTGTTCAACTCAGTTCGAGTTAAGCCTTCAAACAGATTCCTCTTACAGCAAAAGTATATGGTATGTCATAAGAAGCAATATTAATTTCCCAAATAGCTTGAATACACCCTATTAACATACTCTCTAGAACCAAATCGAAGAAGCATGAATGTATCCCTTTCAATGAAAGTTTTGGGGCATTTAGCATCCAGCTCCCCCAAGGAAAGCATTGATTAAATTTGAAAGATGAGCATATTGATCATCAAAAACTACAAGGGCTCTCTAAAATTCCTAAAAGGAGAAAGAGAAGAACTAGTGAATTAGATATCAAGCATAGACTTTTGAAGCTCAAAGATCGTATTCTCTATACATATATGTCAGGGTTTTCTTCTACAAAAAAGAAGGCCAAGACTGCTAATAAGATACTTCTCTCAAGGAGGTCTAAGTATATTGGTGTCTCAAGAAACAACTCCAATTGGCAAGCTCTTATTAATGTAGGAGAGTCCAAGAAGTACATTGGCACATTCGAGAACGAGCTCCAAGCTGCAAGAGCCTATGACTTATACTCACTTGCTCTAAGAGATGATCAGGGCTCACTAAACTTCGATTATAGCAAAGAAGAAATACTAGAAAGAATAGAATATTACTTGAAGAATAATTGAGTTAAGACATGTTTTAGCTTATAATATTTTTTGAGTTCATAAAATCTTATTCCAACCCTCATTTTTCATCCCGGGGTTTTGGGGTTTTGGGGTTTTGGGGTTTTGGGG